TTAATACTTGTAATCAATTTATTAACTAACAGTCTTTGCGGTTTATTAGCGTATTGATAGAACCTCTGTCTCATCCACAGCAGTCTCTTCGCTGCAGAACTAGCCTCAAGTACCCTAAGTTGGTTTTTAAGCTGTACCACTAACCGAAGTTTAGCGGAAGAGGGCGACACTACAAGCTTTTTTTCTGCCTGAAATAACTGTTTCATAAGCTCTGTTCTCTGATGGAGCAAGGACTTTTTAAGGCTTGAGCTTTCCACTATGAATTAACCTCTGATAAACACTTTATGATCTTCCCACATAGTTAAGGACTTAGGCACTGATCCAGTATTGAGTTAAAAAAACTCACGCAGTGCCACCGAAATAGAAGCGTTAACGTCCGCTTGACGCAAAAATATGTGGTTTAGATGCCAATGCCATGTGCATGAGTGTGATTGATCAATAAGCAAATCTAAACCTAAAAAAAGAATGATCAGACCAAGAGCTTGTAACAATATCAGAGTCCACCGTCTGCTTAAGCAAAGGGGATGATAATAAAAAGTAATTTAATCTGGTGTAAATGTGATGTACGAACACTGATTAGCATTCGGATGTTGTATTCTCCAAACATCAAACAGCTTATATGTCCTCTAATCCACTGACGAAAGGGGGTGGATTGTTTCAAAACTTGTTTTGAGGGCAGATGGCCCCAAAGGGACTTCCTGTCTCTCGTAGGAGATACAGATAAATTGAAATCACCTCCAACAATCGTGAAAGGATGTGAGGATGATAACAGGGGAGAAATAGAATCCCTAAAAAACACTAATTGATTAGTATTAGGGGCATAAACATTAATACTTGTAATATAGGTAATGCCATGTTGACATTGCAATAATATAAATCTGCCTTGGGCGTCAAGTACAGATGACAACAATCGGATAAGACAACCTTTCCTGATAAGGATAGCAACACCTGCTTTACCTGTGGTATCTACTGCAGAATATGTTGTAGGAAAATATTTGAGGGTAAAATTAAATGAGCTTCCTTTTTTAAAATGGGTTTCTTGAACAAGAACAATATCAGCCTTAGAATGATGAAATTCCCTTAGGGCTAACAACCTCTTCCTCATTGAATTCAAACCCTTAAACATTACAGGAGTATAATCGTAAAGACATGTTGAAACATTTAACACATGAAGCAAATGTATGCAGGACAATGCAGACCATGCTATACTAACAAAATATAACATATAAAACACTGACTGAAAGTGACACATTCAATGTGTCGTAGAAAAACCAGCAAATGCATGACAATGAAATCCAAAAAGGATCTGCGTATGCAGTAATAAACCAGAGTATGGAAGAGGCCTGAGTAGTCAAAGCAATTCAGGCATCTACAGCAATAGCTGTTGATTCTTGGGGACAACATAGGGAGGATGAAATCCAGGCGGTGGCTTCACCCCTCTCTTCCAAAATAAACATTAGTCAACAGGAAGAAGCCTGAAAAGATCCCGATAGGATGTCGGGTTTATCCCAATAGGGATAGAAAAAGGAACAAAATTAATGGGCAAATCATGTCTATAGACATTAGGTATCACCAGCTGCATCATGGGAGACGTCATCAAGTTGCAGAGGATATCCGCGAAGCAGGAGACCATTGAGGAATCAGTAGGTATGTTCTGTTTCTGGATTTTGCTGGGGTCCACATCTTGTTGGGAGTGTTGGCCACTCTAGGCTTGGATATGGGCAACGCTAGGGCCTCATCCGGAAGGGAGTGGTAGGCCCAGATTGCGCAAAAATGCCTCTCCCCCCTGAAGATCTCTGATTACGTGTTGAGTGCCATCCTTGGTCACGGTTAACTTGAAGGAGAAGCCCCATCTGTATATAGTCCGGTGTTTTTGAAGGTGAAGAGCGATTGGCCGAAGTGTACGTCTCTTGGATAGTGTGATAGGAGACAGATCACTGTAGATTTGAATTATTTCCCCCCTGAAATCCACTGATGCAGTATTACGTGCAGAATTCAACAGGGATTCCTTACTATCATAGTAATGAAACCGGACAATGATGTCTCTTGGTCTCGCACCCAGTGGGGGTTTTGGGGCAAGAGAGCGATGTGCTCTATCCATTCGCCAATCTATCTCCAGAAGAGCAGGGACCAATGCAGTGAATAAACCCCTTAGATAATCTTGTAGGTCAGCATCACCTATAGATTCAGGGATGCCACGTACAGTATATGGAGATTTTGTCTTCGCTCCCTGTTCTCCAAATCTTCTTGTAGTGATTGCAAAGTGATTAAAAGTATGGTTGTCTTCCTCTAATACATGAACATACTGCACCAAATCATCAAATTTGGTTTCTAGATGATCTGTGCATTCTTCCACCAACGCTATCTCCCCTCTAAGTTCTTGAGCTATTTTCCCCACTGCCGCAGAAATTGTATGAGTTAGATTTTGCAGAAGATCATGTATCTTATCATCCAGAATATCTGCAGTAAGATAGGGGATGGGGGAAGAGGGAGATAAAGCAGTGTGCTGTGTTACCTCCGCTGCACGGCCTGTCAGATCTTCCGGTTCTGCCGCTGGGATAGCATGATCACTTGAGGCCAGGGATGCGGCTCAGGACACATTTATCCGTATGTTTAGGCCGCTGATGTTAGGTGGGCAATGGAGGATATTTTTGGTGCCCAATTTTGCCCATGGGGATCCGTGAGTAATGCTGAGTTCTGTAACTGTGCTCCTCTGCTGCGAATAGCTATTGATTGCTCTGGAGAAGCTGGAAGAACAATGCAGCGGAGTGAGGCTAGTGTGCGACCGCCATCTTCAGCCTCCACGCATGCGCCCTCATATTGATGCTAATTTTAAAAAAATGCTACCCAAAATATACTGACCCTGACCTAGACCTTTGACCATCTCTTGACCCAAACACTTACCATATCACTGACCTAGAACAAACCTTGATCTAGGTATTTTATCTTTCTTTTTTAATATTATTTATTTTAAACACTTTTTTCTCTCTGAAAGGAGAGAGGGAGAGAGAGAAAGAAAGAGAGGGGGGGGGGGGGGAGAGAAAGATAGAGGGAGAAAGAAAGAGAGAGAAAGAGATACAATATATCTCTCTTCTCCATTCAGAGAGAGAAAACACAGGGGCAGGATTTACAGTGACTGATCACTGTGATAGTCAATCACAGGCTATCACAGCGATCAGGTGACCCAGAATCGGGAGTTCCGGGTCCTAATAGTTAGTACAAGACCTGGGGCTCATGGTGAAACCCTGGTCTTTGTTCTAGCAGCATGCTGCATGTGAGATATGCAAATATGCTGCACCACGACATAAATCCCAGTGCAGTGAGGCAGAGCTGTAGATAATTTACGTTTACTTGTGTTTGGTGGTGGTAAAAACGTGTGGTAGCAAAGTGGAGCCATTAAGCTTTGCACTGCAGCTTGGCAAAAATGATCCCCCTGTAGAGTTCAGCAGCCAGTACCACCTGCTGAACGCAATCCATTCAACTGAATGGGGGCACCCTGCAGTAACACAATGCACGCGATTGTGGCACGTTAGTGCTGGGTTTAAAGTGGTTAAAATGGTGGTGAAAAAGCAACACAGTGCCTCCTCACTGCCTGCCAATTGCTCTCTGAAGAGCAATCCCAATACAGATCCTCTTTAGAGTGCAACACTAGTGAAAACTAGCCCTAACTGTTTATGTAGCTGAAATCCTAAGGTTTTTAAATATACACCAGCTATATCCTTCCTGAACTAATGTTTTACTTGGATCCATACTTAGTTTTTTTTTAACACTGTAGACATAAAGTGTTTTCAAAAAAGAGTTATAATTGGTACCTACTGCATTATTTCACTGTGTATCCACCCTTATCTGCACATCCATTGGTTACCTGCTGTTACCCTGGATGCACAGAGATTTTGTCCAAGGGCAGACATGTATCCCTACCTGCAGGTAACCACTGGATGTGCAGATACATGCAGAGACATGATTACAGCAGCAGGCAGGCTTGGCTCTTTTCAGTCCATCACCTTGTTGTACAGGCTGAGCAGCTGCCGATGATTGGACCACCCGGGAACCCGGATGCAGGTACTTGCAGTATACTTGCGGCACCATGGTCATTTAGGATGTATGAATGAAACCCAGACTGGATTTTTAGCTGACCTTACTGTTCATTACTGTGTGTTTTTTACACCTGGTCAGTAAGGTTGGCTCTTATTCAGTCTAAGCCTTGGTTCACATATATACGGCCATGTGGGCCCCGATTTGCACAGACACGAAAGCCCATTCATTTGAATGGACTCCCATGCCCCGGGGCACACAGGGAAGAAGTCCCTGGACTTCTTTGGAGACCGCAGCCCGCACGAGAACCTTGGTTCCCAGTGTGGTTGCGATTTCCAGAGCGAACGGTGTGCCATTAGAAGTAATGGCACCCGCCCACAGGTCCGCATTCTTCTGTGTGGGTGGTGTGGGTGCACGGATTTTTATGCGAATCCGCAGCGGCACCACCCGCACATATGTTCCAGAAGTCTGTGAAGTCTGGCACTGATGTCGGATGAGAAGGCCTGACTCACAGTCCAAAAACCCAAAGGTGTTCTGTCGGGTTGAGGTCAGGGCTCTGTGCAGGCCAGTCAACTTCCTCCACCCCAAACTCACTCACCCATGTCTTTATGGACCTTGCTTTGTGTACTGGTGAGTAGTCATGTTGGAACAGGAAGGGGCCATCCCCAAACTCTTCCCACAAAGTTGGGAGCATGTAATTGTCCAAAATGTCTTTGTATGCTGACACCTTAAGAGTTCCCTTCAATGGAACTAAGGGGCCAAGCCCAACCCCTGGAAAACAATACCAGACCATAATCCCCCCTCCAACAAACTTTACACTTGGCATAATGCAGTCAGGCATGTATCATTCCCCTGACAACCGGCAAACCCAGGCACGTCCATCGGATTGCCAGACATGTGTGATTCATCACTCTAGAGAACACATCTCCACTGCTCTAGAGTAAGGCTTGGATGCAGCTGCTCGGCCATTCCATGAAGCTCTCTATGCACTGTTGTTGTGATAATCTGAAGGCCACTCGTTGTTTGGAGGTCTTTAGCTATTGACTCTGAAGACGGTGACTTCTGCGCACTTTGTGCTTCAGCATGTGCTGACTCCGCTCTGTCATTTTATGTGGCCTACCACTTTGTGGCTGAGTTGCTTTTGTTCCCAGTTGCTGCCACTTTGTTATAATACCAGTAACAGTTGACTGTGGAGGATTTAGTAGCAAGGAGATTTCACGGATGGACTTATTGCACAGGTGGCAACCTATCACGGTACTCGGCTTGAATTCACTGAGCTCCTGAGAGCGACCCATTCTTTCACAAATGTTTGTAGAAGCAGTTGCATGCCTAGGTGCTTGATTTTATACACCTGTGGCCATGGAGGTGATTGGAACACCTGAATCCAATGATTTGGAGGGGTGTCCAAATACTTTTGGCAATGTAGTGTATACTGGAATTTGTATTTTTTTATACTGCTAATGGCGGCAATCAGCAACGTATAATGGGATTGTGATACTGCAGCAGGCAATCTTACACAAACTGACGCTGGGGCTGGGGGGGAAACTGACTAACTGCCACTGGCATCTCCAGTTATACTAATACAGTGATCGGTGATAATACTATACACTGTCACTCTACTAATGACACTGGCTGGGAAGCGGTTACCATCTAAGGAGATCAAGGGGTTAAATGTGTGCCTAACTGTGTGTAATATATGCAAAGTGTGTTTTTTACTAATGATCTCTCAGTTTCTCATCCCTGCAGAGAGATTGTTCCCTCTGTACAGAACTCTGTGTTGATTGTCAATACAGAGCTCTGGGCTGTGACTTGACACAGATGACCAGCAGGTTCTGGCTGTGGAGCATTGGCCGGGACTTGCTGACAGACTCCCTGTGCAATTACAGTGGGTGCCGGGTGGGGGGTACAAGTAGGTGGCAACGTATCAGTACATCATTTTGCCTACAGCCACCGGCAAGTGGCTAAATAGCAGCAAATACACTATCTCCCCCCAATAAAAAATATCTGCTATTAAAAATCCCCACTACGCCAGTTAAAAAGGTTTGCAAAAAACTCCCCATTCCTTCCAGCAAGCCCCTAAGAACAAAAATATGCCCTCCAAGCAAATCTCCCTCCTAAAGGATACCCCCCTTCCCTCAAGCATCCCATGAAAGGAAAACCATTCCCCCTCCCTCTCTCCTAAGAAACACCCCCACCCCAAGCAAAGATCCCCAGTGCAAAATACCTCCCTCCCTCAAATATCCACACAAAATTAAACCCCCTCTCTAACCCCCCCAAAGTACCTGCCTCAGTCACCCCCCCCCCTCCCCAGCAACAATTCCTAATCCTGAAGAAATCTTCCCTTCATTCAAGTAAACTCTCCTCCCAGAAGCAAGTTCCTGCTCTTACAACCCCCTGTAAACTTTCCCACAAGAAACTCCCCCCTTCCCCAAAAGCAAATACACCCCCTTTCCTAATCCCCCTCCAAAAGAGACTCCTCCCAGCTGGAATGTTCACCCCCTCCTTCCCCCAAACAGAAGGTCTATGTCTCTCCACTTACCAGACTTCAGATTCACAAGGCAGGACAACCTCTGCATCCCCGGTCTCCCTTTGGCTGTGTTTTAGGACACAGAGCTGAGAAGGAGTCCGAGATCCTTCGGTTGTGTTCTGTCATTTCCCGTTGTCTGTGCATTCCGAGTACCTCAAGGAGATGGCTGGTAGATGCCTGGAGCTAGAGTTTCATGTCTCTGGGGGTCCCCTGTATCACCTTATCAACAGCCCTTTAGCTGACAGATCACTGCAGCTCTGACTGCTTCTGTTGAGACACTGACTGGGCATTTTGGTAGGAGACTCTGGTTTGAACCCCCCTGACCCTCCCTTATCTACGCCCCTGGAGTGAGGCCGCATATTTATGGGAGGTCGGTGTCCAGGGGTTAACGATTTTCTCTTTCTCTGTTTTAGTCCAGTTCTCTAGCTTGAACTAAATTCCTATCCCTTTTGTTTCTATCACCAGCAGTCATCAAGGCAATTCAGGCTTCTGTACAACCTCATGTAAGGTTTGTGACCTTATGCACCAGTGCTTTTTTGCTTGGCTTCAAAACAATGTGTCATATACATTTTACCTCCATTTACACCTTGGGTGGACAAAATATTTTTAATTGTGGGCTCTAACCCCTGGCGCTCTTTATACATGTGTACTTCTCTTCATCTGGTTCATATGATGTGAGCTGCTGTGTTTTGCCATTCATACCACAAACTGATGCTCATTAGACACCTATCGTTCACCTTAGCGTGCAGCCCCTTGGTTTTCACTGTGGGGCAAAGGTTTGGACTCTCTGTCCGGCTGCTAACACTTCAGCTAGGAAGTTTTTATCTTTCCAGGGCTTGGTCTGGTGCTGGGGAGAGGGGCCAACTACCTGGAGCCATGAAGACGTGGTAGGTGTTGGACAAAGGCCAGTGGCGCTCTGTCCTGTTTTCAGTGCTTCAGCTGGGGAACCCTCATCCTCCGCTCTGGCTGACTGTTGTTGCCTTATGAGGGGTTTATGTATAATTTCCATTAGACACTGTAAATAGGTATTTGTATAACTATATTTTAACAAGTTGCAAGGTTAGAAATAATAGAGATTGGTTTAATATGGGTGTACTGTACATATACATGGGAGCAAGGGTGTAGTGTAGGAATGTTTTGATGTACGGAACATGTGCATGTCACAGAGAATGCTTTATTATACTGTATGTGAGAAGGGATAACCATTAAATTTCCTACTGTAGTACTCACCCCCGCAGGAACCGCTGGAATTAATGGGCACTTCTGTCCTTCAATGATGAACCATATACAGTGAGGAATAGAAGTATTTGAACACCCTGCGATTTTGCAAGTTCTCCCAATTAGAAAACATGGAGGGGTCTGAAATTCACATTGTAGGTGCATTCCCACTCTGAGAGACAGAATTTTAAAAAAATTCAGGAAATCACATTGTATGATTTTTAAAGAATTTATTTGTCTTGCACTGCTCAACATAAGTATTTGAACATCTGAGAAAATCAGTGTTAATATTTGGTACAGAAGTCTTTGTTTGCAATTACAGAAGTCAAACGTTTCCTGTAGTTGTTGCCCAGGTTTGCACACACTGCAACAGGGATTTTGGCCCACTCCTCCACTCAGATCTCCTCTAGATCTGTCAGGTTTCAGGGCTGTCGCTGAGCAACACAGAGTTTCAGCTCCCTCCAAAGATGTTCTATTGGATTTAGGCCTGGAGAACCTTGGGCCACTAGCTAGGCCACTCCAGAACCTTGATATGCTTCTTACGGAGCCACTCCTTGGTTATCCTGGCTGTGTGCTTCAGGTCGTTGTCATGTTGAAAGACCCAGCCACGACCCATCTTCAATGCTCTGACTGAGGGAAGGAGGTTGTTGCTCAAAATCTCACAATAAATGGCCCCATTCATCCTCTCCTTAATACAGTGCAGTCGTCCTGTCCCCTTTGCAGAAAAGCACCCCCAAAGCATGATGTTACCACCCCCATGCTTCACAGTAGGGATGGTGTTCTTGGGATGCAACTCATCCTTCTTTTTCCTCCAAACACGACGAGTGAAGTTTAGACCAAAAAGTTCTACTTTGGTCTCATCTGACCACATGACTTTCTCCCATGCCTCCTCTGGATCATCCAGATGGTCATTGGCAAACTTCAGACGGCCCTGGACATGTGATGACTAGAGCAGGGTAACCTTCCATGCAATGCATGATTTGAAACCATGACGGTGTAGTGTTCTACCAACAGTGACCTTTAAAACTGTGGTCCCAGCTCTCTTCATGTCATTGACTAGCTCCTCCCTTGTAGTTCTGGGCTGATTCCTCACCTTTCTTATCATCAGTGATACCCCACGAGGTGAGATCTTGCATGGAGCCCCAGTCTGAGCAAGACTGACAGTCATCTTTAGCCTCTTCCATTTTCTAACAATTGCTCCAACAGTTGATCTATTTTCACCAAGCTGATTGGAAATTGCCCCGTAGCCCTTTCCAGCCTTGTGGAGGTCCACAATTTTGTCTCTGTTGTCTTTTGACAGCTCTTTGGTCTTGCCCATGGTAGTAGTTGGCATTTGACTGACTGTGGGGTGGACAGGTGTCTTTAAAGAACTCAGACAGGTGCTACTAAGTTAGATTAATGAGTGGAGTAAAGGTGTTTTTTTTAAAGGCACAGTAACAGGTCTTTGAGAGCCAGAATTCTTGCTGTTTCTTAGGTGTTCAAATACTTATGTTCAGCAGTGCAAGACAAATAAATTCTTTAAAAATCACACAATGTGATTTCCAGAATTTTTGTTTTTAAATTCTGTCTCTCAAAGTGGGAATGCACCTACAATGTGAATTTCAGACCCCTTCATGATTTCTAAGTGGGAGAACTTGCAAAATCGCAGGGTGTTCAAATACTTCTGTTCCTCACTGTATATTGGATCCACAGCACACCAGTACACCTTGTGGGAAGTTTTATAACAGGTTTAATAAGAGAGCTAAAACTCTGCAAATAGACTGCAAATTAACTTGGAAAAAAGCAGTCAAATACACTAAATACACAAACCTTCTAGAATTGCAATAACATCAATAAACACAATATTCATGTATATACGTATATACCGGTATAGCTATAGATCAGTATTACCCCCCTGCAACTACAGCAGCAATATGTCCCCAGCTAAACTGACGTCTCTTTAGGCTCAGTCCCAAATTCACTTGTATACTGTAGGATTATAACACTGTGTGAGTCTGTCTGTGTTAGTGATTTGGTGAAGCGATCTTAAGGACTGACATGTCATTTGCAGGTGCTCAAGGCGTCCAAGAAGAACAGTCTCCAGGGATGATAAATGGGGCTCTGTCTCTCTGGCTAGTGTTTTCCTGTTGTCAATTGTCGGTGCTGCACAATCTCTGAGGTGCCTCACCTGGGATGGTCACATGCCTCCTCTGCGATTTCTAACACTCTGACCTCTTTTTCTGTGGTGGGAGATGTCGTTGCTGTCGTTAACTGCCGTCGCTGGTGACTGTTACCAATGATCACAGTTACTACTGACTTCAGCTGCTGTAGATAACCATTGTCCTTAGCAACTGCTGCTGATCTGGAAACAGTGTCAGTGTACTTCAACAGTAGGGGCTGCAGACTAGCTCCTCTGCAAAGGCACACATGGCTCCTCAACCCTCCTCCTTGCAAAGCATCCTGGTCCTGTAGTCCTGTGCAGCATAAGGTTACATTGTCTGCCTCTGTGATGAATCTGCAACTCCCACAAACTCTCCAGTACTTCCTCCACTCCCTGGTCATTGAATTGCCGCTGGGGAGGTGAGCCAGCTGCTCCATCTCCC